AATTACTTCCTCTGTTTTTTCTCTGGCCGCCTCTCGCCTCTTCCAAAGAAAGTTGACTCAGCCCAGCCAAGGAGAAATAGGTCTTTAGGACATAGTCTTACTTAACCAGAAAATTCACTAGCCATTGGTGAATGAGAGCAAGGGCTTATGCATGTAGCTGAAAGTAGCTATGATGTTTTTCTTTAGTCCAGAAAATGAAATTCATTTATATAGTTTTCCAAAGAAAGTGGGTCAGACACTTGGAGCAAACCCCACTGATTCTGGCCTTGTTTATCACTGTGTAAGTGAAATAGCCTAGGAAAAGAAATGCAGATGCTACTTTTTTTTTCATGCATTCCCTGGAGAACTTCATGTCAGCCCCATTCAGTTGCAAACTGTACCAGAGTTAATGAAATGGAGGGCTTTTTTTTTCCTGCATGATGTCATGTCTTTCATAAGTGGATGGTTTTGACATGTGCTATGATCCGTATTGAATGTGGTTTGTGCACATTAGCTTGAAGTCTTAGGTGTGAAACAGCCTTGTCTTTGAGTTTCATTGAGTTAAAATTGAGATTTCTGGATCTGCTCCTGGGCTGACAAGAAAAAGGATGAGTTTGCTTTCCTGTTAGACTTCATTTATTTCTTGACTAGTATGTCTTGGAAGAAGAATGTACTGTATTGCAGATAAAGAAATAGGGACAAGCTCCTGCTTGTATTAGAAGTTTTGAAGTGTAGACCAAATCTCCAAGGATTTAATGAGTACTTGGAAGACACTGCAGATATGAAACAAATAAAAAGGAAATGTTCCTTTACCGAACTCATAACTAAACTATGAAACTCTGTCACAGGACTTAGAGGAGATCAAAACTGTAAATATGTAAGACGGGTAGGAAGGTGGATCAGATGGGCCATAGTTAATTCTGTTAAAAAAACACTGCTTATTAGGGTAACAAAACCACATATTCTGTATTTTCCAGAAGAGTGAAGGACAAAAACTCTGCTCAGTTAACTGCATGCTCCCTTCCCAAATTTTAGTCCTAATTAGAGGCAAAAAGTCCTTTATTTCTCATTTTCTACTCTTTTCTTGTGTAGCCCTCATTTTAAATGATGATCTGTTTCATCTTAAAGCAGGTACACTTCACTGACAAGGAACACGTTGCCCCAGTTTGTCATACAAAACTCCAGGGAGAATTACTGAGTATGTGTTTGCTGGACACTGTAAACTGGTGGAGTTTTCTGGTCTCCCAAGATGGAAAACATCCTAGACACATTGCTGGAATATGCAAAATTTGGATTCAGCATGTGCTCTTTTATGCCTGAATGGCTACAGAAATTTCAGGGCAAGAGAAAACCAGTCCTCTCCAATGCTTTTAAACTTCTAGGAGGTGACTAAGAGCATTCCTCTGCTTTTACACTGGGTTATTCATCAGAAACAGCTGCTTCTCCATGCATCTGTGACATCAGGGTGGGTCATTTAACAGAGACCTGTATCTGTCACGTGCATGCAGAATTACTTTACTGTCCTGAATTTTCACAGCTAAGTGTGTAGAAGTGCTGACAACTACTCTTGAATTTCCTTCCTCTGCCAAGAAAAGCCAATGGCCACCTCTCCATCCCGCAGGCCTTTACTGCTTGAAAACAAAAGGCAGCATTGTAAGGTTTTTATAGTACAGCGATGATGTAGAAACCCTCAGGTAATCTTCACCTAGCGAGCAAGTATGGTTGCTGAACAATCATATTTTTCTTCTTTCAAACACAGGGACAGGAGATACAGTTGCAGCAGCAATCACAGAAATGGTTTGGGGTTATCAAAACAATTGCAGCACATATGAACAAACACTTCAGCCTTGCCAAGCTAAACTAGCCTAAGCATTTGGCTTGGCCAAGCA